TATAGATAGATAGATGATAGATAGATGAGGGAGAGAACATATATCAAGTGATTATTATATGAAGACTTTATCTGAAGGCTTGAGATGTACTAACATTTAATCTTCAGGACAACACTTTGAGATGGGTATCTAGGGGTTGTCAAGAGGATTAAATAAAGTAATGTGTATAAAGCAATTAACATGGTACTTGCCAATAGTAAACTCTCAATAAATGTCTGCTATTATTACTATTACCATTTGGCTTTTGCGAGGGAAAAATGAAACATTGTTTTAAAAATATCTAACTGTGTACTAGACACACTTGAGTGTCCACAAGCATTAATTATTGTTATTTTGTTGATTAATTTTTATTAATTTATCATCATTATTCTTCTGTTCATCCAGCCTAATAATTTGGATCATATACTATCTTCAAAACTATCTCTTTTTCTAGTGATTAATTAATTAAGCCTCCATTTCCTGGGAGTATACCTACCTAGGAGTTTCAGTGGCTCCTAACAATGTGCAAAGCCAAGCTCATGGACAGCACTGTTACCTCTCCCTTCATCGTCTCAAATGATACAGTAGGGGTGAAGTCGTCAGTGGACTTTTGCTGTCAGCTCATTTAGATGACTTTATCACTTAAGACACGTTTTGCCAAAGCAATGAGTACACCTGACGCAAAAGTCAACTTGTTAAAAGGGCATATAATTGGAAAAGGCCCCTATTCCTACCCTCTGCACCCCAAGTCTTTCTCTCCAGAGGCAACCGCTGATAACCAATTGTGTTTGTGCTTTTTGTATTTCACATTTTGTTTTTTCGTCATTTGAATAGTCTGTTTATTTTTATAGAACCATCTCCCCTCTCTACAAACACAGAAGACAGAGAAGGCATAGAGTTGCTTATAATAATCCTTTGTTTTCCTTTTAATGTCCATGGGATTATTAGTGCCGATCTCCCTCTCATTTCTGACATTTGAGACAGACCTAAATGCTCACTACATTTGGGTCACATTGGATGTGAAGATCACTAGTATCTCAGCTCTGCGTGTGTCTATTGCTGTTTAAAAGCACGGGGACCCTTGAAATTTTAAGCAACCAACATTTTATTGATTTCAAAGTAATGGGTAGCCTACTTTCAGTTACTGGAGTCTGGTGTATGCTGTGCATGTATGTTTATGTGTGTACATGTGTGTGCATACGTACATGTATGTGTATGAGTTGAGAGTAGGATACGGTATAGGGTTTCATGTATAGAAAGAAGCAGAAAAGCAGGGTGTGCAATATTCTGCATATTTGAGGAATCCATTTTATTATCCTATAGCTGTGCTTCTGCCGCCTCAGGAGTCCTCTTAGTGCTACACGTCCCTCAGATGGCAGTGCCAGCCCGTCTTCTCATTTTTTGTTACCAGGGAGCCTCTCTTCCGCAGTGAATTTTCTTTCCATTCATTTTCAAATGACTTTTCTGATATGGGCATTGTTGAATATTCACCAGATAGAGGCACAAGTATGTGTATAGATAGATTTGCATAAGTATAAATACAGTATATGTACCCATGTTTAAGTGATATAATGATTATATTGTATTGCCACCTCAGAATGAAAGCTAATTAATTCAGCCATTGAGATGATAATGATTTCTTTCTCAGTTAATACCAGAGTGAAAAAAAAACCCTACGGAAATTTCTATGCACTGTTCCTTTGACTCATCTTGGAATAAGGAGTTTTATTTCTGTTAACTATTTTTTTTTTTTACAGTTATAGTTGACATTCTGTTAACTACTGAGCTATTCATATTTGATGGTTTTTAAATAGAATTGCTCCTAGGAGGGGCTGAAGATTAGTAGATAGATTGACTCAATGATTTGGTACCAGGAAATTAAAAAAAAAATTTTTTTTTGTCTATAGTCTCTTTCAAAATACATATTTTGGTATTTGCACTCCCAATATCAACTTCAATCCTAAAGCACAGTCTGATTTTTAGACTTTCTGTGCTTGAATGTAAATGAAGGAAAACGGTAAGATCTTTCCGAGTGCAAGTTATGCCAACCGACAAATTCACAAACAAATTCGTCACGTTTTTAACCTTGACATCCCTAGCTTTTCCTTCGGCCTCTACTTTCGTATTTAGTTATTGATTCCTGAATGTTTCTTGGTTTCCTCCTCCCTGTTATCACTGCCCCGCGACAAGTTCAGGCATTGATCACTTCTTGACTGGTCTCCTGATTCCAGTCTCCCGTCTCTCCATTCCACTTTTCTTCACCTTGTACCAAGGATTCTTACCAACATGCAGGTTAGGTCATACCCTCCCCTCCTGCCAAAACACAAAACCTGTTCATGGTTTTTCTCATTCTATAAAAAACTCAACTCCTTTACTTGGCATCCGAGGGCATTTAACCATATTCTGTCCCACTGCGTGCCTTCACCCATCTCCCACTAATTCAGCCCCATACTCGAACCTCCTATCAAGATGGATTATCCACCCTACCTTGAAATCACTGTAACGCCCTTCCTTTGCTCATTTCCCAGAACATCCTTCCTTCTCTACAGTCCATGTTTCAAAATCCTACTTATTCTCCAAGATCCAGCTCCAATTCTACTTCCCTCATGAATTCTTCCCTGATCCCCGCAACTCAGAATTAATAAAGGTGATCCCCATGCCATATACTGCCTTTTCCTCAAGACACTCGACTTCTAACTGTTGCAAAATTGCCATATTATAATTAGTTTACTAGAATAACCTTTTACTGACTTCTGCTGGAAAGATCGTCATAACAAATATGCATATTTATGTCTGCGATGGAATTGCTGTCTCCCCCCATCCCTTAAATTCTATACAACCTTCGCAGGCATCTAGTATGGCCCTGAAATGATCATGTTTCATCTATATTCCAATAAGTTATTATTTAATTCGCTATCCTATTGCTCTATCTTGTATTATGCTGAGAGTTTACTGGTTTGTCTTCTCACTAAGTTGGGAACTCTGAGGACAAGTAATGTCTAACTTGTCTTGGTTTCTTCCAGGTCAGAGAATGCAGCTTTCAGATAGTAGGTACTTAATATTAAGTTATTCTATTCTCTTGTAACCCAAGAGGGACAATTAGAGTAAACGTATTGCTTAAGAGTATGGGCTTTGGTGACTACCTGGGTTTGAATCTTCCTAGTCCACTCATTAACTGTGATCATGGCCAGTGTAATTAACCTCTCTGTGCCTCTTTTTCTTCATCTGTAATATGAGGACATATAATATTATCTTTATTGTAAAGTTGATATGAAGATTAAATAACTAAATGCAGATGAAGTGGTTAGAACATCAGCTAATGAGTGCTTAATACATATTAAATAATATTACAACAGGCTGTTAACATAGTCTCAGTTTTGGCTGAGGCATGAAGATACTAGAAACTACATTCCTAAGTGAGCCCATCTTGCAGTGGTTAGTCAAGACCTAATTGAATACCTCACCTACTTTGAGGGGATGAAGTGGGAAGGAGTTGGAAATTATAAAGCAGACTTGCTGCAAGGATTTTGGTGTATGTGACTAGTGTGCTATGAATCCCACATCCCCACTGCAAAGGGGTGAGTGTGGGATGCGGGTTTCTACCACTAGGGGCCACCACTAGAACTTTTAGTATGGTACTTCTGGGAGAATTAGGAAAAGGTGTCTCTCCTTCCCCAGGTAAAATAAATATGTTAAGGAAGTCCTGCTGCCTGAGGCCCATTGAAAAGGCCTTCAACAGGATTACTTGAAGAGATTGACACGTATCCCCTGCAGCCGAGGGAGACTGGACTCTGCCACCTGAATTTTACCTGAGAAGTTGGAAGGGCACAAGGAAGGGTGGCCAACTGCTTATGGATAAGTGGGAGAGATTTCTCTGCCCCACAGAGTTTGTGGGACCAGAGAAAGCCAGCATGGGGTTATCTTAAGTCCACAGTAAGAGGGTCACATGGAGGAACTTTGGCGTCAAGAAGATAGAGATGAATTGCCAAATTCCCAGATCCTGAAGGAGATACGAGCCACGGGCTAGAATAGAGATTTATTTCCTCTCATCAAGAAATTGCAGAAGAAAGTATCCCAATAATAGGAGGAGTTCTCTAGGAACCCAACCCAGAAAAGAAAGTCAGCTTTAGAAGCTTGCTGGGCATAAGTCAGCTTCTAACAATACAGGCAAGTAAGCACTTTCCTGTCACGTCTTCCCTCAACTCCCACCATCCTCTCCTTATTCGCCACTCTGCCTTGACTCTGAAAGTCTCAGGAAGTATAGTTAGCCAGATGGGAGAGAAAAAGTAGAAGTGGAAAGTGGAGAAAAGGAAAAGCAGAAAGGCAGCCAGTCATGTCCGCTCCCAGACTCTAGGAAGGTGGCTGCAGCTGTGGCTACACCTTCTCAAGGGAGATGTTTGCTTTTAAATCAAGGTTGGCATTTTTATTATTACACCGAGCTGGACATATTAAGTACCGAAATGAAACCTTGAATGTGACCTCTCCCTGTCTGCCTAGTAAACAGCAACTCGTTTCCAAGATTTAGCTAAACACTCACTTCCGAGTTTGACCTCTTCCTTCAGAACTGACCATTCTCCCGGCCTCCTTTGCCCTAGCCACAGCCAGGAAAGCTGCATTTCACTTGTTTGGTTGTTTGCCTGGCTTTGCCCTCAATCAACCCGTAGACACTAAGAAGGTAGGGATGACTTATTTGCCTTTGCATGACCAGTACTCAAGCACACCAGCACATAATTGTCCCTCAATGAAGATATAATAAAAGTAATCTATTTTAAAACAACTAAGATTCTTCCTAAGAGAGGGTACAATTCATACGCGTCTTATTATTTTTGAGAGTTAAAAGAAACAGCAGCTTTCTGGATGACATATTGCAGTTGAAAGTACCTTTGCCAACAGTACTCTCAAGGATTGCCTGGGTGCTCTCCAGGGGTTTATGAGAAAATGCTTGGGCATCTCGATCCTAATGAGTTTTTCTGAGTAGATGATGTTAGCAGCCTTGTTACTTTTTGCTGTTTCTTCCACAGGTTTCTTCAGGAGAAGCATTACCAAAAACGCCGTGTACAAGTGTAAAAATGGGGGCAACTGTGTGATGGATATGTACATGCGAAGAAAGTGCCAAGAGTGTCGACTAAGGAAATGCAAAGAGATGGGAATGTTGGCTGAATGTATGTATACAGGTATTCGCATCAAGCAATTAAATTCCACTAAAAATCTCTTAAGGAAGCAGATGTCAGGTAACTCATCGAATAAGAACGGTACTTCTCACACATGAAAGAAGGGATGTGCTATGCCATCTAAGTTCTTGAAAAGGGTAATGAGCCACTGAAATTGGGCAAACTGTCAGCTAAAGAGCATTTTACTTCCCTGAAAGAAATGGCTGTGTTTTGTTATTCATTGGTGCAATAAATTATACGTGGAGGGAAGTGACACTAATGTACAGTTAAAATAACATGTTTTAATAAGCTAAAAAGAATGACAGTCTAAAAGTGTCCTCCCAATTTGATTTGATCTTTTTATTTATTGTTTAATTAGCATAAAATTTACAGTTGTGGGAAAAATTAAGAATGCTCTATAAGGTATAACTGCCTCTGAATTGTCTAAATAGAGTTTTAAACAAGTCATTTTATAAGAATCCTTCCCCTTAGTGCAGTTCTGAACCAATTTGTATAGGTTTACACAGGAAATTAACTACCCTGAGTTTTAATATCATTTGGTCCTTCAATCTGATAAAAAAAAAAAAAAGACACTGTATTAACTGCTGGTTTTGTGAGGAACTTTAATCTTCATCAAAATTTGGAATGCATGCTAGTATATAACATATTAATTTTTCATTCTGCAAATTCTTCAGACCACTTAGATTTTGAGATATGTCCTGTTCTTCCTCAAAAGACAAATAGACAAACAAATGTCACCAAGGAGATGATAACATTCAGGGAGAGAATGCCACATGAAATAAAAGCCTTTGGAAGGTGACTCCAGTTCTATTGTTCCCAAACTGTACAGGCAACTGGGATGGACCCAGAGAAATAATGCTTGCAAGAGCGGGGGAAATAGACCAATGTAAATAATCCAGATCTGGGTGGATGAAAATTTTATAGTGGCTGATCACAATCTTCTCTTAGCATAGATGAAACAAGAGACTGCAATAGGGCCTGCTGCGGGAATCCAATCTTGCAGTGGAAACACTTACTTTAATACTGGGTGGTTCATGTTGCTCATCACTTAAATATGAACTTGTTCCAACTGAAGCACTGAAGACATTTTTCATGATCCCACCTACAAGAGCCTATAATATTAGGAGACTCATCCACTGACAGATGCAAAGCTTTCATATGAGCCTATAAACTAAATTCCCTGGATTAAGGAATTCCTGGCATTTAGTTTCATCAACATTGAGAGAATAAAGTTAAATGGAAATATGGAGAGTTGTTCTAAATTATTTTTTATAGTTCTGTTTAAGTGTAAATTAATGATGCCATTGTATGATTATTCAAAAGAAAATTTCAAAGTCCCCTTGAGTTATTTTTATCTTTAACTATGTTCTCAATAATTTATACAGTTTTGAAAATTAACTGGATTTTAACATTTTTCCTGAAGGATTTTGACATTTATTTTACTAAATACATTTACTTATTATGTATTTAATGTAAAATTGAATATGCTTCTTAAATGTAAACGAGTGAAAAATAATATTAATACTTTATTTTGAAAGACTAGCTTTCAAGGTCCTCTAGACAATAGGGAGAGTGTCATTCACCATTTTATTGACCATTATACCTTACATTTTATAACGCTTGGCGTTATAAATCCTTTTTATAAAGCTCATTTTAAAAAATGACACGATTACATTTAATCTACACAAAGCTCTGCAAAGTAGACATTATTCCCATTTTAGAAATGAAGAAACTAAGACTCATAGAGAGTAAATTTCTTATTCAAGGTCAAATCTTAAAACATCATAAGGGCTGGAACTGGCTCTGTGGCAAACGGCACAGGAGATCTTATGAGTCAGCTGCCTTGCGACCGCACACCCAACAGTACTTTCTGTGACTCGCTAAGTCTTTATGTTTATTTTTTCAGGCTTGTTAACTGAAATTCAGTGTAAATCTAAACGACTAAGAAAAAACGTGAAGCAGCATGCAGATCACACCATTAATGAAGACAGTGAAGGACGTGACTTGCGACAAGTGACCTCAACTACTAAGTCATGCAGGGTAATGACAAGCAGTGGTGTCCGCCAGTGCCAGCAGCAGCTGAGCTTCTAGGCATATAGTAATCTGGCTGGGAGGCTTTCAAATTAGAGCTACAGCTATGCATAGAATTTCATTTCAGTTGCATATTAAATGGACTTCTTTTATTTTTAATCGAGAGAAGAATACATACTTTGGTATAAAAATTCAAAGAATAGCAGTGTATAAAGTAAAAAAAAAAAAAAAAAAAGTGAGAGTTCTCCTTTTCCCTGGCTCCATTCCACTCCTATTATCCAGAGGTTGCCAATAGAAATAGTTCAGTGTATAAAATGGATTTTTCAAAGTGAGTGTTATGACTGTTTTTTTCTGTCATTGAGAAAGGAGGCTCAAACTCTGAAGGATGTGGACTCTACAGAGGCTTGTGAGTTAGTCTTTATCAATGGATTAAACAGTGAATGCACATCTGTGGACCAACAGAGAAAAGTCCTTCTCTCTGAGGTCACAAATTACTCACGAAATCTTTTGAGCAACTTGGGACAAAATAAAGAAACAGCATCTTGGATGATTAGCTAAACACATTGTGATAATGCACAGGGCATTTGGAGAAGTTTTAATTTGCCGTTAGTTAAAAAACCACTAATCCATGATCATTCAAGCCATGCCCTTTTCAATATTTATTATACTACTGACAAAGGAAACTTCATCCACATTCAATTTTTCAAATATGCTATTTTGTATTTATTTCAGAAAAAATAATTTATATAAAAATATTATTTTCCCTTAGTGCTTCATCTTTAACACTTTGGTATAAGGAAGCAAAAAGTTGACACAATTATTCACAGTTTTCAAAAGATGCTAGTAAAGAGGAAAGAGGTGTTTAGTTTCTAAATTGTTCAGATTGATGATTCTACTTCAAGGGCCAGCTAATTTTTTTCTCTAAAAGGCCCGATATTTTAGACTTTGACTAATTAATCTCCATCATAACTACTCAACTCTGCCATTTTAGTGCAAAAGCAGCATAGATAATACATAAACAAATGAGCGTGGTTGAGTTCCAGTAGATTTATAAAACCAGGTGGATTTGGTCCATAGGCTACAGTTTGTCAGCCCCTGCTCTACATGAATACTAGTCAATGGATTCTCCAGTTTATATATGGCAACTTTTCCTTAGTTATGACTAAACCTTGAACTTCCACTGAACTTCTCTGTGAATAAGCTCAATAGGCTTCATATTCAGACTATTATTTATTCCCAAGAAATACATGAAATAAATATTTTGTCTTCCTTATTTTACAGATAAGACAATGAGCAACTTGGGACAAATTTAGTGAAATGATATGGCTTGCTTAAGGACCCAGAGAAAGTGATTATGCATTAAAACACAATGCATAGTTCCTGCCATATTTACGGTTTTTCCCCCAACAATTAATGATATTAATTTACTCCAGATAAATGCACATATGTATGAAAAAAATGACATAACCACCCTCCCTAACACCTTTTATTTTTTTGCCAGTGTAGGAGAAAACTGAACTCACCCCAGATCAACAGAATCTTCTACATTATATTATGGATTCATATAGCAAACAGAGGATGCCTCAGGAAATAATGAATAAAATTGTATGTACAACATGTGAAAATATATGGGTTTAAAGTTAAAATTTTCTGGAGTTTTTACTACCTTGGAGGTGAAATTTACATATAAGTCTATTACTTTGAAATTGTTAGAACTGAGAATTTTAGCCATACATTTAAACTTTTAGTAGCATTAAATGACTAATGAGTAAGAAGTCTCATATCTATCTTGGTAAAAGTAATTGCTCTCCAAGGATTTGAAAAATATAAGTTGGGTTTTTAAATGTTATTGTCTAAATCTGGTTCTTTATTCTAATGATTTTATATGACTTTATACTTTTATCTACTTATTAATTATCTGCTTTTTTTCTTAAAATTTAGTTAAAAGAAGAATTCAGTGCAGAAGAAAATTTTCTCATTTTAACAGAAATGGCTACCAGTCATGTACAGATTCTTGTAGAATTCACAAAAAAATTGCCAGGTATTGTTACATGTACTTTCTTCTCTGCTAGATTGTGCAATATTCTTGTGATATTGAGAGAAGCAGTTCTATTTCATTGCAAAATGGGAATCATCTCACATCTGATTTAATGTGTCTACTATAGACATGAAATGTTAGATCTAGATGAGATATTTAAAATCACATAATAATTCTTCCAAACTAATAGATTATGACACTGAAACTTTGTAAAGCTGTCATTCATCCATTTATTTATTTAATAATAAATATTTGTTGATACCTACTCAATATTAAGTACCTAGCTATTACCTTCAAGGAAAGTTATTAGAGGCTATAATAAAAAGTATATACAAAGTTCTCTTTAAACAGAGAGGAAGTAATTACTAATTATATCTGAGAAAGACAGGGAGGCTTCTGAAAAAAAAAATATTTGACTTGTGTCTAAAAGAAAAAGGAGCGTTTCAGGTAGCATGGAAGAAAGGGGGCATTGCAAGTTAAGAAATCTGCTGTGAAAATATAATGAGGCATGAACAAGAATAGAATTATTAGAGATGGGAGAGAAAATTCAGTGTGTCTCCTTGGTTAGACATAAAGCAAACTGGTATCAAACTGCATAGGCCTAAAGAAGGAATTTAATTCTTGTCCCCTAGATGGTAAAGAGTTTTGGGTGGCTTTTTTGCGGGGGAGGGTGATACAGGGATGTGATTTGTGTTATAGAGATATGGCTTTATTAGGTCTGCATGAGATCGATTTGAATAGGGAGGGACTGGAGGCAAGGAGGATCAGTTAATATGCTACTTCAGTCCAGGCAAGAAGGCTTGAAATAAAACAATAGCACTGTGAGAGAGAACAGGAAACAAAGAGAGATTCAAAAATTGATAAGATTTCATGAACTAGTGTTCATCATGTGTGGGACGAGGGATGGGGATTTATCCACAGTCATTTGATGGTGCCAGTATGAAAACTGGAATGCAAGATTCTTATATCCCAGGCCAGAATTCTTTCAGACACAATTTCAAAGTAATTTAAGCCAATAGGTTTAAGTTTTTTCATTGTTTTAAAAATATATTAGTACATTAGTATCCCATGGTCTACAAGAGTATAATAAATACCTTGCATAGCAGCATAATACTGTAATTAAATTAAAGAAGGTAACTTCTGACACATGATTTTAATTAGACAGGTTAATTTGCCTTCTTTTGCAAACATTATGCTATTATTTTATTAAATGCATCATGAATAGATATAAGCCTACATAAAACATAAAATGCGGGGAGAAAGTTCTCATTATCATTGAAAAATTAATATTCTCTTATTTTTTTAACAATAAAAGAGGAACTTAATTTGTTATATGCTAATTAAACTTAAGGCAATCTTAATCAAAAACAAGATTACACAAGAGTAAAAATTGTAGAAGACATTGAAAAGGGAGAAATATGATGTTTTTGTTGTTTATAAAAAAAGATTTTTCTGTTCAAATGGTCACTTAGTTTTGAACCAAGAAATAATTAAAGCCAAAAAAAAATCTCACTCATATAAAGGTAGCTTATCTAAAAACAATGGCAATATCTTACGCACTTCTTCATTCCCAGCCTGATGGTTTCTGG